CGCTGGGCTGGGGTTGGAGCCGGCTGCAGGGCATGGAGAGGTGGAGAGGGGGCTTCACCCCTTGGCGGGATCCAGCCACGAAACAAACCCTCTCCTGCACCTCATTCCCTTGGCCACAACTGCCTGAAGCCCTTAAGTGTGAGATTTTGGGGTGGAAATGGTGCATCTTCACAACAGCTCTGTGCTGACTGGCATTCACATGCTTTTCTTTCCGCAGCCAAAGAGCAGTATTTCATCCCAGGTAAGAGGACGAGCCACATGGGTGCCTAGGCATGTGCGTGAGGGGGTCTGCTTGCCTGCAGCAGTGTTGGTGCCATGTGGAGCCAGACCGCATTTCCCATGGGATGCCCTGTAACAGCCGAATTCCCAGCTGCCTAGGGATGCGGTGCCGCCCGCCTTGTCCTGCCCTCACCCACAAAAAACAGACATGCGGACAGGGCCAGCTGCGTGCGGTGGCCGGGGCGGAGGAGCTGGGGAGGCTGCAGGCTGGGGACAACCGGGCCCGGCTGGAGGTTCGGGACGGGAGCACGCCGGTGATGCAGGCAGCGTCAGCGGGGCCAGTGCGGGTGCTCACTGCGTGCTGGCCACCCCGCAGGCACGGAGGACTACCAGCTGAACAGCGAGTGCAACAGCGACGTCGTCTGCCCCCCCAAGTGCCGCTGCGAGTCCGGCGTGGTCGAGTGCTCCAACCTGAAGCTAACCAAGATCCCCGAGCGCATCCCGCAGTCCACGGCGGAGCTGTGAGAGCCTGGGCCACGCCGGTCCCCTCCTGCCCTGCTCCCTCACCCGCTGTGCGGCGCTCGGCTCTGCTTGGGGCTGGGCACTTTGCTTCCGTTCCCTGAGATCTTTTCTCCACCGCCTACCCCAGGCGCCTCAACAACAACGAAATCTCTGTCCTGGAGGCCACGGGCATCTTCAAGAAGCTCCCACACCTGAAGAAAATGTGAGTATGGGACATGCAGCTGGGCCAAGAATGCATGGGGGCGCCTGGTCCCAGCCTGCTGCTTTTCCCCGCCAGCAACCTCAGCAACAACAAGGTGTCGGAGATTGAGGACGGGGCATTCGAGGGGGCCGCGTCCGTCAGCGAGCTGCACCTGACCGTCAACCAGCTGGAGTCGGTGCGCAGCGGCATGTTTCGGGGCCTGGACGGGCTGAGGACCCTGTGAGTCTGCTCCCTCCATCCCGGGAACACAGTCAGGCACAGGGACCACGATGTCCCTGCTCCTTGTCCTGCTCCAAGCTGCCGGGCTGGTGCCACTTCCATTGCAGTGCGTGCAGCTTGGAGCAGCTTCCCCATCCCCAGGCTGTATCTGGAGCTCAAAGCTCTGCAGGAGGAGCTGAGTTTTGCAGGGTGCAGCTGCAGCCCTAGGAGCTGGCTTGGGCTGCTCCTGCCCCGCAGGACCTGCCTGGGCTGGCCTGACTGAGCCCGAGTTCTTAGGGCTCAGTTTCCTCAGTCATGCCCTGAACTTACCTGCAGGATGCTGAGGAACAACCGCATCAGCTGCATCCACAACGACAGCTTCACGGGGCTGCGCAACGTGCGCCTGCTCTCGCTCTATGACAACCAGATCAGCACCATCACGCCAGGCGCCTTCGACACGCTGCAGTCCCTCTCCACGCTGTACGTGGCGCGTGGAGAGCCCTTCCCCGGGGCTGTGCCGCGGCGGCAGCTGGCCCGGGACACTGGTGATGCCCTCGTGCTCCCTCCATGTGCGCAGGAACCTGCTCGCCAACCCCTTCAACTGCAATTGCCACCTGGCCTGGCTGGGAGACTGGCTGCGCAAGAGGAAGATCGTGACAGGGAACCCGCGGTGCCAGAACCCCCCGTTCCTCCGGCAGATCCCGCTGCAGGACGTGGCCTTCCCTGACTTCAGGTGTGAGGAAGGTAACTCATGGGCCTATGGAGCTGGGGGGGATGGGGCTGCCCAACCCCATAGGCAGAACTGCTGTGGATCGGTGCCGCTCCAAGCCTTGTGCGCACGTGCCGGCGCCGGGCAGACAGAGGCGGCACGTTCAGAGAAAAGCCTTTTTTAACCAGGAACAGATTTTGAGCCCAGGAAAATATTTACAAACAAACCCTCGCTTCTTCTGCTTTCCCTCCTCCAACACGTCCAGCACGGGAGGGTTGCATCCTGCACCCTTCCTGGCGAGCGGGAGCGCGTGCGGCGGTGCCGGGGATGCCTCTCCCGCAGGAGCCCCGTGCCCTGCCAAGGAGAAGGAGCAATGCTCCGGCCCCCAGCTGCTGGTGCAGACCCTCTAGCACCAGATGCCCTGTTAGAGGGTGGTTGAAGGGGTTATTTCAGGAGCTGCTGGCCCCAGCCATCTGGCCCCAGCACCTTCCTCTGCTCCCTTGTCTTTGCGGTGCTCCTCAAATGCACTTTTGCTTGAGAACGGTGGAAATCAGATCAGCCTTGAGCTGGCTGGTGGCATCCATCATGGCAAGGGGTGCAGTTTGGGGAGCAGTGTGAATCAGCCGGGGCTGTTCTCCAAGGGCAGCCTGTCTGCAGCACCCCGCTCTGGGGGCGCAGGCATCGTCCGGGGCTGGGGTCATGGACAGGCTGAGCCCGGGGGGCCACAGGCCAGACACCGGTCACCGTGCGCCTCTCTGTGCCCCGGCAGGTCAGGAGGAGCCGGGCTGCATTCCGCGACCGCAGTGCCCCCAGGAGTGCACCTGCCTCGACACAGTCGTCCGCTGCAGCAACAAGCACCTCAAGGCGCTGCCCAAGGGCATCCCCAAGAACGTCACTGAGCTGTGAGTGCTGCGTGGGCCTCAAGGCTCCTCCCTGGGTGCCTTGGCTGTGGGGCAGCCCAGACTGCCACACAGTCCTGCAGTGAGGGGCTCGAGTCGCGGTGCCCGTGGGCAGGCTGGGAGCAGGGGGCTGCACCGCGCGTGCTGCAGTGGGGTCCTCGGCGGTGAGCGAGGGGGCCTGGAGGGGCTGCAGGCAGCGACTGTGCACATCCGTATGTGTAATACCCGCTCTGAGCCCGGAGCAGTCTGGCGCTCCCCTCTCCACAGCCTCCTCTGCCTTGCACGTGCCTGGCGAGCGCTGCAGCCGCCCACGCGGCGCGCGCGGCACATGTCTGGCTGCCGGGGGAGCTGCCCCGCGCGCAGGCGGCTCCGCGCGCTAGCGCTGCGGGGGAGACGCTCCTCATAGCCCCGGGTCCTCGGAGGGAGAAAAGGAAGGGCAGAAGGAGGCATCTGGTGTTTCACACCCAGCCAAAGGTGCTTGCGTTCTCCCTCGCAGCTACCTGGATGGAAACCAGTTCACCCAGGTGCCTGGCCAGCTCTCCACCTTCAAGTACCTGCAACTAGTGTAAGTAGCTGGGAGCAGCGCCCAGCAGCCGCCCCGCTGCGGGAGAGGAGGGGGGTGTGCGGCCCAGGGTGCAGCTCCCAGGCTGCGCGTGCAAGGCTGGTTTCTGCAGCAGCAATTGCACGTGTGGGAGACTACACCTACCTGCTGCTCCGCGTGTTTTCCTGGCCAAGCCAGCCCGGGCTGGGAAGCGTCCAGCGCCCGGTGTGGTGGGGCTGCCACGGGTGTCCACGGCAGGGCAGTCCCAGCTGTGCGAAGGGGAAGACTGGCCCTTGCAGCCCGCTGCCGTCACAGGGCACAAGCTGGCCACAATCCCCCCATGTTTGTATTTTCCAGCGATCTGAGCAACAACAGGATCAGCTCCCTGAGCAACTCCTCCTTCACCAACATGAGCCAGCTCACCACCCTGTAAGTGCAGCCTGGGCCACGCAGGGCTGCAAGGGGACGTTTCCTGGGGGACCCCAAAGAGCAGGGGGTGCTGGGGGCACCAGGAGCTCTTCCACCTGGGTGACGCTGGGTCTCCAGCGGGCACAGGGGACAGGGTAGGGGCTGGGAGGGCTCCGTGCAGCATCGCCGCCTCCTTGCCTTCCGCAGGATCCTCAGCTACAACTCCCTGCAGTGCATCCCTCCGCTGGCCTTCGAGGGCCTCCGCTCCCTGCGGCTGCTGTAAGTGTTGGTGGCAGCGATGGGGGAGCTGCAGAGTCCACCTCCTCCACCCCCATGTGGATCCTTGGGGCTGATGTCCGGGACACGCTGGACCCCAGAGCCCCCGCTTGCCTGCAGGTCTCTCCATGGCAATGACATCTCCAGCCTCCCTGAGGGCATCTTCGCAGACGTCACCTCCCTGTCCCACCTGTGAGTACATTGTGCACCCCAGCTCTGCAGCGTGGGAGACCTTTGAAGCGCGCCAAGGAAGGTGTTTCACCCCTCTTATGAAGGAGCCTTTAACCTGCAGCCTAACAGTCTCCTGCTTGGGGTGGGGGGTGTTCGGCTCTGCTTCCCTCCCCTTTCCCCGGAGGTGGTGCAGGAAGCTCCCGCTTGCTGTGGTCCCGCTGGGGTCCATAGCTTCAGCAGCAGCCTCTGTTGCGCCGCCGGTCAGCAGCGGAGGCCCAGCCGCGGCGCAGCCCTGCTCTGCTGCCGTGTGCTGCTGTGCGCTGCTCCTGCCGTGACGGGCCCTGTGCGCTGCACCGAGCTCTGCTCCTGCCCGCGACTGCTTGAGCAGTGGCCGATGGCTCCCGTCATTTGCTGGAGCCGCAGCTAAATTTCTCAGCCTGCCGTTCCCCCAGCTCGTTTTGATCCCTTCCCAGCTCCACGGTGGAGCAAATGGCCAGGTGTCCCCTCTTGACATCTCCCTTTGCCTCCTCGGGCGCTGCTGCACAGGGATGGAAAAGCTGCTGCAGCTTTGTCCCTGTGCCCTCACAGCGCCATCGGGGCCAACCCACTGTACTGCAGCTGCAACCTGCGCTGGCTCTCCAGCTGGGTCAAGACGGGCTACAAGGAGCCTGGGATCGCCCGCTGCGCAGGGCCCCCCGCCATGGGGGGCAAACTGCTGCTCACCACCCCGGCCAAGAAGTTTGAGTGCCAAGGTGAGAGGCGCCCGCTCCATCCGTCCCTCGGCCCATGCATGGGGGAGCCGGCAGCCTCCCGCCCCGCTGGCTCCCGGCACGCAGCCGCCTCCCCTTGGCTCACGGCCACCTCCGCTTGATGCCCCCAGGCCCGCCGGCCCTGAGCGTGCAGGCCAAGTGCAACCCCTGCCTCTCCAGTCCCTGCCAGAACCAGGGCACCTGCCACAACGACCCACTTGGCACCTACCGCTGCGCCTGCCCCAGCAGCTACCAGGTACCGCGGGGCCCAGGGGCTGCGTGCCCTGTGCCGAGAACTCCCTGCACAGCTGTGAATGCTCCGGTGCCTCCCGCAGCGCCCTGCAGGCTGGGCTCAGGGCGGGAGGATGGAGGGGGTGAGGGGGCACAGTGCCCATGTCCCCTCCACCTCCCTCGGGGCTGCCTGTGCACCCCTGTGCTTCCTTCCCCAGGGCAGGGACTGCGAAGTGGCTCTCGATGCCTGCTCCAGCCAGCCCTGTGCCAACGGCGGCACCTGTGAGCCCCGGGAGGGCGAAGGAGCCGCCTTCAGGTGAGGACCCCAACCCGGGGGCTCGGGCAGCTGCCTGGAGCCCCCGTGCCTGGGGATGAGCTCAGATCTGCCATGCCCCCGTGCCGCCCCTGCATCCGAGAGCCCTCGAGGCCTTTCTGGGAAACTGGACACAATTAGAGGCTGAAAATAAATGCCAGGCTGCGGGCGAGGAGCTGGGATGAGCTAAATGGCCTCTCGGCCCGTCGCCTTGGCAACCCAGCATCCTTCCCTGGGCACCCGCAGCC